GAGAAGGAGAAGGAGAAGGAGAAGGAGAAGGAGAAGGAGAAGGAGAAGGAGAAGGAGAAGGAGAAGGAGAAGGAGAAGGAGAAGGAGAAGGAGAAGGAGAAGGAGAAGGAGAAGGAGAAGATGAAGATGGAGTTGTGGATGTAGAAAAAGATGCAAGTGAATATGAATATAAGAGATGAAGATGAAGATGAAAATGAAAATGAAGAAGAAGATGGAGATAAAGATAATGATAAAGAAAAATAAGATAAATGAAGATGAGATAATTTTTCAAATAAGTAAACTATGCAATTTACAATAAAACAACTTTATGATAAATCACGTATAAAAAACTGCGCGGTGGAATTTACATGGATAGTGCCATATTTATCAACCGACTTATTCTATTAAAGTTCTCATAAATTGGAAATTTTGCGAATTAGAAGTAGACTCACCTCACTTTAAATATCACCTAGGCTTCATTTTGGTCGATATGTTCCAGAGACCAGATCAATCAATTGTTATTATGACTTCTCTCAATAGGTGTTTGTGCTTCGTACTCCTTTGGTCAAATGACTTTGAGTTATAGTATATAGACACATCGTTCTATTTGAGACCAATTTCACTAACAACATAACCAGATTTCATCAGCTTATCATTGTTTACCAAAAGCCTCTAAAATATACCTATATCTTTTTTAAATATTTTTAATTTATCTCTAATTTGAGGTCACTCAGCTACTGAAGAAAATTTGAAGCAATCATTTGACACTTAATATAGCCAATATCATAATATCCTTACATCCGGAAGCAAGCGCTGTATGCAGGTAGAGGTAGTAACCGGTGAACGTCTTCTGAGAGAATTTATGACATCCTGGACAACGTATTTGTCATTCAAGGACGGGCTGCAAAATCAAAGTCTTATCTTAATTAAAGTGAAGTACATACAACATGGTATACCTAAAAGAAATTACTAGCACAAATATGTATGCGAGATCGGTTTTTTGAACGAAAAAAAAGTTGAAAATCATAGACCAAAAGGCTGGTGAATGCAGGAAAAGTGTGGATTTGTTTTTCGAAATCAAAATTGCGTGTACTATTTATGATAAGAAAAGCATTGGTAAAAAAAAGCGGTGTTATCGCTTTATATTTTGAACAATTCCACAGTAAAAATTTTTTATTAAAAAATATGCTTTTGGTACTTATAAGTCCCAGTAAGGAATGCACCTCCCAAATTTTAAAATTAAAACTCCTCATATTAAATATGATTGCAAATTCATAAGGGTTTCTGCTGTGATTGATTTTGCATTTGTTATTGCTTTAGCAAACAGAATTTTAATAAATTGCCGATTAAAGTGATTACTACAGAATATTGGCTTTGGCTGGCGCACATGTGACTCGAGTGAGTGCGAATGTAATAATAATTCCAACAATTCACTGGTCCCAGATGGGTCATTACTTACTTGGCTACATAAATATTATAAATACATATATAAACTCACTGCGGCTTGCCCAGTTGTTGGCATTTCTGCAATCACTGCGCTTGAAGTGTTGAAGCGATTAAGTGAGAGGCAGAAAGAGATAGAGATAAAGCAAAGAGTATTACGAGTGCATTTTATTTTCGTACTTTTCGGCCAGTTCAAGTGCTGATTGTGGCAATTTATTGCTCAATTTATTCCATAATCGCATTTGTTATTGTATTTGAGTGGCTGGCGGGTAATGATTTTTCAAATTTCATTTCACATGATATATAATGCCTACAAATTTTATTACAAGCGTTTACGCGTGTGTGATTATATTTACTTATGTTTAAAAATTGTGCATTGAACTGTGCGAGATATGGGGAATGGCTAAGTTAAATTTTTGTTGAAAATTCGATGTAAAGCGCATTAGAATAATGTTGATGAAAATGGTGTTTATGTGAAGGAAAAGATTTTTTGAGTGGTATAAAAAAACTCAGAAAGGTCTTCTGTACAAAATATTTGCAATGCGAGCTACACATGAAGTCTGTTAATAGTCCGTTTATCTCCTAATATGCTTGCCGTGAAATTTTAATTTTATGTTTATATCCTTAAAGGTAAGTATTTATGTACTTATGAATGCAGACATAGATATGTATACATGTACATACAACTTTGTACTCACCCCTCAAAGATCTATAACGAATATAACGAATTTCAGCTAAAGATGCGATTATCCTTTCGGCAATTTACAGAAGTCGGGCTGATATGTTTTTGGCTGACTGTGCGTTTGTCTAAGTAGCAGTGACTGCATGGGCATGCCGGTAACCGTATGTGAGTGCACCTGACAGCTTCACTGACGGGAGCATTCATGCGGAAAGTAAAAATAATAATTTGAAACAAATAAGGGATTTTTCGAGTACGTGGCTGCGCTATGTGGGGAGCATAAAAAAAAACGCAAAAGTATTAGAATTGAGTTAAAGAAAATAAGGAAACATACTTAAATTTCGCACAAGAAATAGGGAGTGCAATGATTAGATTTAAGAGTTGGGAATTTAAAATAATTTTACATACATATTTTCGTGCCTATTCCTAAGTATATTTGTTTTTTTGTTTTTTATAAATATCCCTTTGAACACAAGTAGCCGCAATCCTTATTCCAAGTCTAGAAATTCAAAATACACTCCAGAGGAATTCTAGAGGCGGTATGTTTAATTTCGTTTAAAAGAAATCTCTGAATGAATAACAGTTGTGCCATATATTATGGAACTCATAATCGGGGAGACCTGAACTATGCTGCAAAAATTTAACTTCAGGTGCTTTAAAATAGTACAACACTGTTAGCAAATACAGACAAATCTTAGGGTCATAGTTCTAGGCGCAACTTTATTGGCAAATAGTCAAGGTTGATTATTTGTCAAGTGCACAGAATTGAGGGGTTAAGGTATACATACAACATGAAGCCAAACCTCGCAGTATGACGGGCATGTTTCCAAATGCTGCGTATTATTAGGCGAACTTTTTTATTTTAGAGATTTTTGATTAACAAAATTACCACTCTACGTACCTGCAGTGGTAGGTACGGTACTGCTCTACCGTAAATGTGGCATATTTTAAGGCATAATTTGAGGCCAACGGAAATGTAATGATGCAAATTCTAATCTATCATGGGATGTGTAGTTTGAAACCCACAAAAATTTCTAATTAAAAATATCGTACGGTAAAAAAAACTACCCGGAATTGGAAAGGTGATGTGCTCAGAAATTAGTGGTCCCATACTAATTTGGTTTAAAGCCGATCGTTGGATCATGAAGAAATTAACGAAAATATTAAGTTTTTATACGAGAATTGAAGTCGGTTTTGTTTTTTGCTTAAAAATTACTTGTTTTAATGAAATTTTGTATGGAAAAACGGCTTCGATCTGAATAAAATTTTTGAATAAGATTTTCTTTTTTGATAGATACTCTGGAACAATACTTAAAAATACTGACCTAATTAAATAATAAAATTCTAGTTTCGTTTTTAGCTAGAAAGTACGTTGGCTTTAATGCCTTATATAATGCGATATGCATAATATCCGCACACAATTTTTTTTTTGATTGAAGTCTTCCCTGACAATTTTATTTTGGTACTATGATAAATAGATGCATTTTTTGCGAAAATAGCATACACCAAACATATTAAATATGTTTTTTGGCAACCCTTTTAAAAGTTCTGAGAAGTTTTAAAGATATTAAATACCCTCAATTTCAATAACAAAAACACTTCAATAAATTTTGTATTTAAATTTTAATTTAGTTTATAGATATGTATGGAAACTCTGAAGTGAAAGTGCCTGCACTAAATTTTTTTTTTGCAGAAATTATGAATAAAGTAGTTTTAGGCCTCTCGTTTATTTTAAATAAAGAAAGTAATATAGATATATATGTATGCTTTGAATTTCTTTCAATTCTAATAGACATTGCTATACATTTTCTTTATAATTTTTTGCATTTTCTTTTTAAATTACTTAAATTTTTTGTTAAGTGTCAACCCTTCTTAGACAATTTTCACCCTTAATGCTTTTATATACTTTTTACTATGATAAGTAAATAGCGCCAATATTTCGTTGGCAAAAAGTTTATATCAAAAGTATATGCGAGGTGTATGGCAACCCTAGTTACTAAACACCTTTCAATTGGTATTAGTACTGGCAACCATTCATTTGTTTTTAATTTTCGTTAATAAATTTTTTTTAGATAAGTGACAAGCGGAAACCAAACCAAAAGTTTGTGCATACCAAACTCTTTCTGTCTTCTTTTATATGCTTTCAAAATTGGATGTTTTTAGTTTTTTCTTTAGAAAGATTTTTTACACTTTTGTGCCTGTTTTATGTCCTCACTATATGAAAATACGGATAAAATAAAAAGTACTTAATATATATTTTTTAATGCAAATAATGTAACATAATTGTAAGGCAGTGTTCTTTAGTTTTCGTTTCATTAACTTTAATTTATTAGTTATTTGGCAACCCTACCTAAAATTGGTATAGAATACCAATCGTACCTTAATTAAAAAATTAAATAATTAAATAATTTTTCGTTAAAAAAAAAATATATATATATTTACAGCTCTAAAGGCGGATCTCGATAGCATGCGTATACGTATGCGTGCGTTTGACAGAAAAATTGAATATACAAATTTTTGTAGCAGTACCTACATAGCAACGCATGAAAATGTAAGAAAATTGTATGAATTTTGATTTATAAGCGTAAATGTCAAACGCACGCATACAGATACGCATGCTGTGCAGGCCCGAGTTATGAGTCCTTGTTAGGAATTAAAAGTACACAAGAGATTATTTC